AAACATTTCTTTAAATGTTAAAATAAACATTTTGTAACGTTATAAAACATTTGTTCAAATATTAAAATAAACATTTTTAACGTTATAAAACATTTTATCAAATGTTAAAATAAATATTTTTTAATGAGAAAAAGGGGACTTAACCCATTATTTTTAACGTTTTCAAAATGTTTTAAAATGTTTTAAATGTTTTAAAACATTTTAAAAACATTGTTTGCTGATTGGGTATCTGCAAGTGCAGGATAAGCTGCAACAATACTTTGAGCAAAATTTTGATAATCCGACTTTGTCGGCCACTGATTTGTCACATAAGACAAATGTGCAGCCCAGAATGCTATAAAGTTCTTCTGAGCCTTTAATAATCCAATATCGTCCAATTTTTTTTGCAAATCTGATGTAATAGATGGTAAAATTATTGGATAACGAATGGAACCAGGTCCTGTCACTTGTGGCTTTACTGAATGTATCATGTTGTCTTCAGTTTTAGATCGTTTGAACTGCTTGGACAATCGATTAGAAGCTTATCTACTTTTCCTTTTCATTTTCTTCTTTTATATCCTAATTAAATTTTATACCAAATTTGAATTTATAAGCAAAAGTAAATATATATAATCTGATTTTTATGATAAGATTTTATTACAACTTACCGAGTAGCAGGCTGATTGTTGAATATCTACTAGATTAGACGAACTATTACCATCATCAATAGGCTCTGTATATAATATTTTTACGATAGACTCATTATCTTTATGAACGGAAGAAAAAGAGTCTATTAATTCTGTTGTAATGTTTGCACGCACTGGTATCAGTAGCACTGTAATCTCACTTTTGTCAGCAACTTCGTCGTTGTCTTCCAAATCACACAACTTGTTATCTCGATCTGGATCAGGTTTTTGTAAAATTATCATTTTTTGTTGCAGCATCATATTAAGGACATTGTCAGTTTTACTGGCTTCCTTCAGTTTGCGTCGGATAATCTCAATTTCTGATGTGTTTTCTTCAGGCATAAACTTAATGCATTTGCAACGGCCTTCAATTAAACAATATACTTTTTTTTCCATTGTCAATCTAATCAATTTTTTCTTAAAATTTGCGAATAATGAATTTCCTCTGTGATATTTCTGTGATATTGAAATCTGTGATATTTTGTACAACGTACGATCCACACACGATTTACGCCCAGTCGAAACAATTGATGAAACAATCGAAGTCCGATGCCACAATCAACTGTTGCTAAACGGAATGGTTTTTTCGGTCGCACGCGCTTGGAAATCGTACATAATTATTAAAATTTAGCGAAAATTCTCGTATACAATACCAATTCTATATAAAGATGGAAAATTATGAGAATGGAAATACATTTCAGTGTGACATGTGTTTGTTCAAATGTATTTCGTATTATCGATTAATGCAACATTACATTCGCAATCATAAACAAGACCCATACTTCAGGATTACATGTGTTCAACCTGGTTGCGGTGCTACATTTAAGAAATGGAAATCTTTTCGCCAGCATTTATTTAGAAAACATCCTACTGCATCTCCCACTTTAAATGAGGTAACCCAGCAAATTGAAGATGAAAATCAGTTAAGTCATGCCAGTATAATACATGATGAATCATTTGAAGGTAAGAAATGTGTAACTTTGAAATCTCCATAATTTGATTAATTATTATTTATCATTATTTTTATATTAACATAATATCAAGAATAGCTTCTTCACATTAAATTAATAAATTATATACAAGATATTGAAAATGCTTACTCTTATTTCAATGATTGTTATTGTGATTACTATTATTATATCTTTAGCTTTGAGAATTATTAGAGATTTAAATATTTTAGTATCATTCTATATGTTTTTAATTTTTGTCACTTAGATGAAAGTCAAGAACCAACATTAGAAACAGCTACAGAACGTTTACAATGGCACGTCGCACATTTTCTTGTAAACATTCGAGAAAAATGTAAAATGTCTCATACGGCTATTGAGCACATCATGGATACAATAACTCATTTATTGGACATGTATTCAGCGATTATAGTAGTTGGTTATAATTATTATCTTGAATGATCTATTTCTTTTATATATTTCTAGATAAAACTCAATATTTATATCATTTTTTCAGCAAGAAATTCAAAACACAATGGATTCTAATACAAATTTAGTGAATTTTCAAGATATTAAGAAGATATATACTGAGAAACATCCACCATCCTCACTATTTTCATCTGTCCAATCGAAAAAAGCCCTAGATAAAATATTAATACAAAAATTTAATATGGTATCAGCAGAAAAATATATACTTGATACAAAGCTTGTTTGGAAAAAGAAGAAACGTTCCATTGGAAAAGTAACAGAGATTTGTGAAACTACTTGTGATGCTTACATCGTGCCTTTTTTCAAAAATTTGAAAAATTTGTTGGAAAACGATGAAATCAGATCAAATATCGAGAATCCAAAGCCACATAAATCGGGAATCTATCGGACAGTATTGGATGGAAGTTACTATCGAGAGAATGACTTTTTTCGCAATCATAATAATGCGTTAGCTGTAATTGTTTATTATGATGATCTCAGTATTGCCAATCCTTTGGGTGCAGCCTCAAAGAGTCAAAAATTGTCAGTATTTTACTGGACATTAGGGAACATATATCCTGAATTTAGATCGTCAAAGAATGCCATTCAATTATATGCGATTTTAAAAACAGAATATTTGAAAAAACCAGGAGCTTTGAAGAAGGTTTTAGAGCCATTTATAAAAGACATTGTAAAATTAGAAAATGAGGGTATTACTATAAACGTTGGAACAGAAACAAAGAATTTTAAAGGCTCATTATTATTTTGCGCAGGAGATACTCCTGCTGCTGCATTACTAGGTGGCTTTAAAGAATCGGTTTCAGCTTATCGGTTTTGTCGTTCCTGTTTGACGACATCTGAAGAGTATAAAAATCATTTTCGTGATGATAGTTTTATGATTCGTAATAAGACAATTCACAACAATCATATCGAAATTGTAACTGACTGTACATTAACAAAGGCAGCGAAAAAATTTTGGCAAAAAACATATGGAGTGATGAATAAGAGTCCTCTGTTGCAAAGTCCTAATGTAGATGTGACACTATGTCTGCCTCAAGATTGTATGCATATTCTCATCGAAGGCCCTGTAGAAATTGCCATTCGTCGTTTATTAAAGTATTGCATTTTTGAACTGCAGTTGTTTACACTTGAACAATTCAATAAACGTATTATTCATTTTGATTATGGTCATTTTAAGAAAGATAAACCTGCTCTAATTCTTCGTGATCATCTTGTTGATGGTAGCTTACGACAAAGTGCAGCACAAATATTCACTCTAGCACACATGTTGCCTTTGTTAATTGCAAATTGGATACAATGTGAAAATCCACATCTCATTGAGCACATAAATTGTTATATTATGCTATTGCAAATCATGAATGTTTGTCTTGCTTATGAGATACACGAAGAATCAATTGAATTATTGAGTCGAATGATTGAAGTATACATTACACGATTTATTAATTTATATCCAGATTCCATTGTACCAAAGTTTCACTTTTTAATTCATGTTCCAAGATACATCAAATTGTTTGGACCACCAAGACAACAGTGGTGCTTTAGATTTGAAGCATGTCATGCATATTTTAAATCACTTGTGCCGATTGTGCGTAATTTCAAAAATATGGCTCTTACAATGTCATACAGACATCAGTCACGCCTATGTTCCATGTTAGTTTCATATCCTGGTACCGATTCAAAAAAATTTCTCTATGAAGGGGATTATATAGCACTTGGAGTATCTGTCCTTCTGTGTAATTTGCCTTATGCAAAAATATTTCATAGAATTATTAATGAATCTGAATGGCTGACTTGCCAAATAATGCGATCACCAAAAGTAATAGTGCATGGCAGCACATATCATTGTAAAAGTATAATTTTGCTTGAATGTGATGAAGATGATTTACCAGTATTTGGAGAAGTGGATGAAATATTTATTTTTAACAAAGAAATCTTATTAGTTATTTCAACATTGCAAACTGAATATTTTGACTTTACAATAAATTTATATAAAGTTACGCAAATTTGCAATGTACAAAATTTCGTGAAAAATGTCAAAGATTTAATGTTTCCTTATCCACTTTCATCTTTTCAAACAAAAAATAGAAAATATGTACCGTTGATAAATCATGAACGTATTGAATTTTATGGATAAAATATCTTTTTCTAAATGTAATTATCCAAATAATGTAATAATAAATGTATGCAATAATAAACTTATTGTATTATAAATTCATGTTATTTGTGTAATTAATATTTAGAAGATTCAGTGTTCTTTAATTATAGAGAACATTATAAACGAGATATTATAGATTTAAGTAGAAAATCCGTAGTGTTTTTTGCTCAACTATTTAAAAAACGCTAAGAATTTTCTTCCTAACCTAATAAACATTTTCTCATAATTGCACATGAAACTCGTGTGTAAGAAGATCTAAATGTGTACAGTTATTTTATGTGTGTGCTTTTTACACATTTGAATTATTTAGAAGTACACGTTTCCACATTTAATATTATATATCATATTATACACAGCAAAACGTGTTAAACTATACGTTTAAATGTATAAATTTATTTTTTTACACAGTATAGTGTGTTATTTTTACACGCCAAACTAAATTACACACATAAATGTGTTATTTTACACATATATGTGTGTACTTATTACACACTTGGATTTGCAGTGTAGGGAGCGTAACCTGGTGTCCGTACAACAGTACAAACGTCGTATAACCTGACGCTGTATGTGGTGTAGTATTGTATGTGAACATCGCGTAGGGCAGTCATTCGTCCCAATCGGTCCGATCTTCGTTTATGTAATGTCGCAAGTACTCCGCTAGTGTCCTATGCAATCTTTCGAGCGCGCCATTACTTTCCGGGTGATACGCGCTTGTACGAATCTTCTCGATTTTTAGCAGTTTGCAAGTGCTCTTAAACACTTCGCTCATAAAATTCGTTCCCTGGTCGGTGAGAATTTTATCAGGTACTTCGTATTCCAGAATTATCTTTATAACGAATGCCTTCGCTACTGTATCCTGATTTTCGATGGGCATTGCCTTGCTTAGTTTCGTGAAATGGTCTTGGAATGTTAGTACGTATTTGTTTCCGGTTAGAGTTACGGTTAACGGTTCTATCTAGTGCGCATTTTTCGAATGGCCTATCCGGAGTATCGGTAATAATCATTGGCGTTTTACTTCGCCGTTTTAATTTATTCTTTTGGCAATGCTCGCATTTGACAATGTACCGTTCTTTTGTTAACCCACTCCAATAGTGGGGTAGACAGATTCGATTAATGGTGCGTTGCACGCTTTGATGCCCGCCTATCGGTACATTATGATACTCATATAGTATTTGCTGCTTCTCTTCCTCCGTGTACTTTTTTATCTCCTTTTCGCTATCTCTTTCTTCTTCCTCCTCGTCACTCTCTTTCTCCTCGTCGATTATGTGTATGTCGTGAGCGACGTTACGACTTAGTGCGTCAGCATTTGTATTGTACTTTCCGACTTTGTGTACGATTTCATAGTCGTACTCTTCCAGTTTTAGTTTCCATCTAATTAAACGAGATCCGGGATCGGTCACGTTAAACAACGAAATTAACGGTTTATAGTCGGTGACAATTTTAAATTTGGTTCCGTATAGGTACGATCGAAAATGTTTGATCGCCCATACTATCGCAAGTAGTTCCTTTTCCGTCGTGTTATAATTTTGCTCCGCGCGAGAAAAAATTCTGCATAAGCTACTGGACGATCTTGTTCTATCGCTCCTTGCGACAAGATAGCTCCTATCGCAAAATCCGATGCGTTGGTAGTTAGTATAAATTCATCGTTGAAATTCGGATACTGCAAGACGGGGGCGGTAATTAATTTCTCTTTTAGATTGTCGAAAGTTCCTTGCTGTGCTCTTGTGTCCACTCGAATTTTATTCCCTTCTTAGTCAATTTTGTGAGTGGTTTGACTATTTTTGAAAAATTCTCGATAAATCGTCTATAATAGCCCGCCAATCCTATGAATGATTGCACATCCTTAACTCGTTTTGGCGTAGGAAAATTTTTCACGGCCTGGATTTTTCCAGGGTCAGGCATAATTCCGTGTTCGATAATTATGTGCCCTAAATATTTGCCCACTTCTTTTCTAAGAAACTCACACTTGTCTGGCTGTAGTTTCAGATTATTGTCACGTATTTTTTGTAATACTTCTAATAGTCGCCGGTTGTGGTTTTTTAGGCTAGCGCCGTATATCACGATGTCGTCTAAATAAACCAGACATCGTATTCCTTGTATGCCCGCTAGAATAGTATCCATTAATCTTTGAAATGTTGTCGGGGCATTCTTTAGTCCGAACGGCATCCGATTAAATTCATAATGCCCGTAGGGCGTTGAAAAAGCCGTTTTTTGCTTATCTTTGTCTGCCATGGGTATTTGATGATAGTTTGATGCCAAATCTAGCGTAGTAAAATATTTCGAATTTTCTAGTTGGTCCAAAATATCTGTTATGTTTAGCAGTGGAAAAGAGTCTCCGATTGTTAAATCATTTAATTTTCGGAAATTGACCACGACTCGCATTTTCGGATTTACCCGAAGCGTCTGTTTTCTTCGGTACCACCAAAGGTGGTACGTTCCATAGACTCGAGCTCGAACGTACGATATCGTTTCTTAACCTTTCCTGTACCTGTCTATTAAGGGGGGATTCTAGTCTAGAGGCCCGATTTTTAGGTTATCTTTGCGATTTTTTTGTGGGAAAGTTACGGAATTTTTTGAGATGGGGATTTTTTTTACATATTAGTGCACCTTTCAAGTATCTTTCAAAATTTTTTTATTTTAAAATATAAATAAAGAAGCGCGGTACATATGGTTTTTCTAACCCATTAAAAAAAAAAGTGATAAACGGTGCCCATGATTCCGGCCGTTGTAGTGATCTAAAACAAAAAATTCAAAGAGATTCTTAAAATATAAGAGTTTGGCTTTCGCTTGAACTAGAATTTTTATAAAATGTTAAAATTTACGGAAGTTGTGC